TAAACACAAATGATGCAAGTCTCCTCTCCTTTATCATCACTTGTGTAGTTCTCGTCTGCACCTCACACATCTCTTGACAGAATTATGGGTCTTGTTTGCTCAGTATTGTCTGGGTGGATAATGTTGTGACTATGACAGAGAAGATGGCACTCCTCAACCACTTGTGGAGGGAACGGGCGTGTGGCTGTTTACTGCTGACTCTACTTGTTTTCTTGCTTTCTTCAGGTTTTCTCATTATAATTTTCAGCCACGCGTTTTATGCTTGCTTGAACTTCTTTGGTGGTATTCCTAACACCCAGTTGGAAGCAACAATGCAAAATCAACAGAGTAGTGTGTAGCTTAAATCCAAGGCCACGTGATATCGATCGCTTGTACACGTTGCTGCCGCTAACCTTTCTCACAGACAAACGATCAACTAATCGTACTACAACCTGTGACCAATTTTAAAGAATAAATCGATAATTTGAAATAAAAATTATAAGATGAAAAAATCTCTGTCCTCAGTCATATAGCAACACTGAGTACTGGTCCTTTAAACTTGTTCCATTGTGTTTATATTTATTATATCAAAATAGACCTTTCAACACTAAGAATACATTGGTCTCTTTGTTTACCAACAGATGGCGCGCGCTCCTGTACCATTTTTCAATGTTCGGAGAGTCAGTCAGTAATGCAATCATGTATGGTTACAAAATGATGTGTAAGGGAGGGGTTATATATTATTTAAAGTGTAGTTGTTAATAATATAGAAAATTCTCATTCATCACACGAGATCTCGTATATTTTATCTAACCATAAGATTTGTAGACTTGCAAACTGGAACTAGTACACGTGGAGTCTGCCTTCGAGAGACTACGAAAGGTGATTGTAAGGTTAGGCTGGATTAGGTTAGGTTATATTTTTCTATGAAACTATTCGTTAATATGAATTTTGATGACCTACATGACCGTCTATGGTAAGACAGAAATTCCCCTCCCCACAAAAAAAATAAAAATACTTCGCAGTTATCATTAATAGGCAATTATCCCTATTAAGTGTGATATAGGACTATTTACTTTATTCCTTCAAATGTATGCACCACTACAGGTATCACACTTATAGGAATAAACAAAGGGGCTCATTACTTTACCCTGGTGGAAGATGTGAGCCTCCAGTGTACAATATATTTATACACAACATCACCAGCTGACTCCCACACTCAAACAGCTCATCTTAGGTGCACGACATAACCTTCTCGGGTGGGGAAAGTCTTAGTCCTGAGTCTAGATGAACTTGAAAAGAAAAATTACCTCAAAATTTGGTAGTTAAATCCAAGGTATTATAAAGTTTCAAGTTTGATTAATATGGATTGAGAAAACTAACTTGATTTTTCTTGGATTCTAACTTAATATTATCTTTACCTGAAGAAGTTTCCTAAGAACACGTGTTGGGGCGACAGTCAGATAATAAACCTGATGTTGTCGTGCCGGGAAGACTTAGGAAGGCATGAGATTCATTCATGCTTAAAGCCCGTGTCTCTATGTAGCTGGAAATCGTGAACACAAGAAAATATAACATAAACTAAAAGAATGAAAACCAAACTTAGTATATAAATATATCACAAAAAGGCGGCAGACAACCTATTAGAATCATCTTTCATTAATGGCTAGTACACAAGGTTTACCCTCTCCTTCACACACCGTACAGTACAAATCAACTTCCCTTAAATTAATTCTTTACTATAGTCATCTCATTCTAATTTGATGTTCTACGATGGTATGTTTATGGGAGGACTGGCAACTCCCTCCCTGCCTTACTCACGCAACCTGGAAATAATCAATGTAGTAAACCCCCCATTACACACAACCTCCTATCATTGTCAACTCCTTTAGAATCGCTCTTTAAGGACCATAATTCCACAGGTTTAACAATGGTCCACTGAAAGTTAAAGCAGTTACAGGAGATAGTAAGGAAAGAGATGTTATGTGAAATTGTATAAACTGTTTATAATATTTATGGCGTCTTGGTCTTTGTTGCAACATATCAGAAAATTTCAGTGTTCAGAGGCAACCTTGTGGATATTATATCTTAAACATTCTCTTCTTGGTTGTTTATACTGAGGCTCTGAAGCTTCTTGTCGTATTAATCAATATGAAATAGAAACGTATCCTATAAATTATTTTCCTTTTCGTTCCATCACAACGTAAATCACACAATCCTCAGCGTTATCTCTGGCGATGAAGCAAAGTTCCCCCACACTGATGAACTCAACAGTGAGAAGCATTGGGATTCAGATCAGAGCATGAGTGTCTGACTGTACAGGAGAACCACACCATCTGCTGACCATATCTGCATCACATTCAGAAATAAGGACATTATCTTACCTTACATCTTCTTAATAACAACAGAATAGAGGCAAATATTGCAGACATGAACACTGTGTTGCTTTTAACATAGAATTTAATTTGCTATGCATTTATATACACGGACTCAAATACTGTAGACGTTACATATAAACCCACGCCGTTAAATAAACAAATACTACCTTCATCACTACCAGGTGTAAATAATACACAGGTATGATCACTGTACACAGGATCACTTAAACGTAAGAGCAAATATGTGTATAAGTAAAAATGAGAACAATTATATACACCCAATACAAACACTAACACAAATCCTACATTACAAAGACGTAAACATACTTCACATACTGTACATTCACAATACACCTTGGTACTCCCAGCTGGTGCATAAACACTATAACAAACTCTTAAACCATTGACCAAGATCAGGATAAATACACGTTCCAGGTCTCCCAGAATACAACGACCATTACACTTCCCTCAGCGATGACGCAACGTATTCATGGGTATATCGAAGTCATTATAGTGAACATAATACTTGCTAAATCTACTCTACTTCACAATTTGATTTTGCACTTAAAGGATTTTTACTCGGACATCCAGTCACACTGCCAATCTCTCGTACTACCCGGTTTTCTTCCCCACATATACGACAAAATTATAGCTTCGTGTAGGCAATTTATGTTCCTTACAATATTTCTTGTGGTCATAAAATTTCCAGATATAAAAGTAACCAAAAAAAGTACCACTTCTCAGACAGACATGGCAGCGAGCCTCGAGAGACGGGCGAATCCTACTTCTTTGTGGAGATTCAATTACTATATATTGGGAAGTTAATCCAAATATTCCGTTTTCGATTTTCATAAAGAAATTTGTTCCCCTTAGTTACCTGTATTAATGAAAAACTTATCACATTAAAAATATATTGAACCCGATACTTAAAAAAAAAAGTTGTGTAGAGGACTAACCCAACCTAACCTAAACTAACCTAACCTAACCTAATTATTCCGAGGGGTTAATCTCAGTACAACCTCACAGACCCACACCCCGCCACACTGCCTCACTGTGTACTGTACCTATAGCTTAATATACAGTGGTGTGCCGTATATAGACACAACCTGTAAGAGGCAATCAGACTTATAAGACACCATTTACTAATAATTGTTTTGAATAATCACATGATTGTATTACAGCTCTGAGTTCAAGTAAAGTGCTTATATGTACTAATTTTCATATCATAAAATTAAGTAAATTTACACCATTTGGTAATTGGTACAAACTTGAACATATTAGTCAGTAAATATTTTCATGGTTGAAGATAACATTGATTCTCTCTTATCAATGGTTGTCGTCCTTGTAAGACATATTAATTTTATCAATTGAGACCTAAACTTTGGGAGATCTGAAGTAAATGTTAAAACCGCAATTGGTCTCGGTCTCGCGGTTAATGGTCTCTATTACATCACTGAAACACACATACACCCCCTTAATCCCCCTTCCAACAGTTGGTACACTTTTCCAGGATTTCTTTCAAATATTCATCAAAAATCGGACATTCATCGTATCAAATTTGAAATTCTGGGAAGAGGATATCGAATCATACTTTATAATTTGATATCAGGATTAATTCTCAATTTCCCTTCACGGATCCTCCCTCTTCACCAACCTGCTCCCCAATCCCCTCCCCTGGCCACTGTACTTCATTCATTAGCCGGCCATCTCTCCCCCTGCACCCAAGACCTCTCTCTCTTCCCTGGGTTTTTGTTCTTACTTCTTTCATTTCTTTCATTAGCTGGCAACAGTTATATTCCTCACCGGGAGAATAATTTGTTTTATTGTCTTTTTTATTTATTTCTGGCGCAGAATATAGAGGGAGGAGCAGTCTGTATGTTAAGTCGTTCACATTTCTTAACTTGGGAAAGACTTTTCATGTTGGCTGGGTATATATCACTTAACTCTATGTACACATGTATACATCGTCTACCACTGCCTAATGCATCATAGTGTAGAATTTATATATCATCCATTGACATGCAAACCCTTCGGTGTAGCATTACCATTGCAATTTAGATACAGAAGTAGTGACGCTTTTACTGTAAATTAGCGTAGTCACCGCTGAAGACTCTCTCTTATCACCGTTTTCTTTAACACACCAATAAACCTTATGTGTTATCAGTACCCTAACCGTTACCATGGCAATACTTGGTTAATTTTGGCGTAATTTGCGCAAAAAGTTTGATGTAAATCACCAAACCTGTTCTCGAGTTGTTTTGAGGATACGCAGACAGACAGACCCAGACAACAGCTGAGGACTTTGTAACAACGATAATGAATCAAATAATAGATAAAAATTACGAATTTAAACAAATCCTATTAAAAATATAATTGCGAACTGTCGACGCATTTGAGTTGTGCCCTAACAATATGATTTATTTTTTTACTCACGATGCAAATGCCGACACATATGCATATACTTGTACAAATATACACACCACGAATGCATATCCTGTCTTTGTGATTTTTTTATTGAGCTAAAAAAATTATAAATTCACACTGAAAATGATTCCCTAATGAGTCGCTATTTAATCTAAAAAAAAAATATTTATCATACAGCGAAGATGAGCATTGACTTTGAGCTCGGAGACTCATTAACAGACTAGATGGGCAAGCTGTTATCTGCAAGGACCAGCCGTCTCCTGACCGTCAGCCAGGGAAGAAAATGACTGGAGTTACCGTCTCGAAAGGGTCATTATGTGTCAGTTATGCAGTGCCAAAATCAGCCAAACGTGAGGAGGCAGATGGTGGTTCTCAACGCATCCCCTTATACCCCGATGCCTGCTTTATGCTGCTCACGTCTTGCCGGATGTTAGTACAGTTTTTCTTATCATCGGAATGACATTGTCTATCGGCAGAAAGAGAAAATGTGGTTTCTTTGGCTGTTGGTTGATTTTCATTATAGCGTTACCAAAACATAGAACACTTTTCGTTAACACACACACACACACACACACACACACACACACACACACTCACTGTATGTCACGCTAAGAAGGATAATCACAAATAAAGTTTAAAAAATCCTCTGACCTGCCTACCATATAGGGATCGTTCGCCCCAGAAACATAAATATTGGTAGTGGTTATAATAAAAATCAAACAAAGCAAAAAAAAAAATAGGAGATAAAAAATGCCCAGGAATTAATAAACGGGGCAACGTGAGGATTAATTAGGCTATTTTTAAAGATTTGATTAAAAGGACAAAAACAAAATACTCTCGCAGGTAATTAAACCGTTTAAACAGAAATAATTGAGGAAAACTTTAGAAAAAAAAATTACAGTCACTTATCACCATTTCAACAGTTAACCAAAAAATCTAACGAATTAATGAGCAACACAACTGCAATACTGTCAGGCTGCGGTTCTCGATACCCTGTGTAAAAGACGCGTAATAACTGGTTTTGCATCAACACTTATTTCAGAAATTCGTTTACCAACATATATGAACATTTTTCAACATTTTTCAATATTTTTTTTATGTATCAATAATGGAACAATTTGGATACAGGAATGTGGTGCCAGTTTTGAAATTTACAACAACATTGATTTTTATGCTATAGAATATTTTTGGTGAAGAGCATAAGATTGCTGGAACTTGAACCTAACCTAACCGACATACATTAAGAGTTAGGAGGTTTGTATAAGAGTGAGGTGGGTCTCACAGGCCTTTATATATAGTCCTTTAGGAGCAATGTGCATATAAGAAACTGTATACTTAGTCCTCAGTACACAAGGAGACAGATTGACCGGCACTACACCAAGCTGCCTTCACATCCCCAAGAGTAAAATTAGGTATCGATTTACAGCTGGGAGAGGAAGGGAACTGGGGCGGGGGGGGTCTCCAGGGATTAAACCAAAGGACCTTTTAGGGCAGGAGGCGACCGTTATATGCACTCGGCCGCCACAACCCTTAGATTTATGTAACTCCGATTAAATGTTCTTTGTAACCACCTATAAACCTAACCTAATCAACTCTAACCAAACCTAATCTAACCAAACCTAATCTAACCTAATCTGAACTAATCTAATCAAACTTAATCTAACCCTACCCAAACTAACTTTATAAAGTCCTCACCTAACCCAATCTAACTCAACATACAGTAAAATTTCACTTTCTGGTTATTTTGAAAACGTTTACAACGCGTTGTGGTCTTTTTTCTCAGTGAGCGAATTGTTTTTTTGAACCAAACATCTACTGTATATTATATGTGGTCTGGTCTCACGGTCAAGTGCAGTGCTTTTTAATGTCTGTAGTGGGTTTGTGGAACGTATGATGGTTCTGTGATAACTGGTGTCTGTGTGTGTGTGTGTGTGTGTGTGTGTGTGTGTGTGTGTGTGTGTGTGTGTGTGTGTGTGTGTGTGTGTGTGTGTGTGTGTGTGTGTGTGTGTGTGTGTGTGTGTGTGTGTGTGTGTGTGTGTGTGTGTGTGTGTGTGTGTGTGTGTGTGTGTGTGTGTGTGTGTGTGTGTGTGTGTGTGTGTGTGTGTGTGTGTGTGTGTGTGTGTGTGTGTGTGTGTGTGTGTGTGTGTGTGTGTGTGTGTGTGTGTGTGTGTGTGTGTGTGTGTGTGTGTGTGTGTGTGTGTGTGTGTGTGTGTGTGTGTGTGTGTGTGTGTGTGTGTGTGTGTGTGTGTGTGTGTGTGTGTGTGTGTGTGTGTGTGTGTGTGTGTGTGTGTGTGTGTGTGTGTGTGTGTGTGTGTGTGTGTGTGTGTGTGTGTGTGTGTGTGTGTGTGTGTGTGTGTGTGTGTGTGTGTGTGTGTGTGTGTGTGTGTGTGTGTGTGTGTGTGTGTGTGTGTGTGTGTGTGTGTGTGTGTGTGTGTGTAACTGTATGGATTGGTTCAGTTTAAACTGTAACAGATTTTCCTCAGAACAACTCCATACACTTGTGTCGACTATTACATGTTGATGTTATTGGAGACAGGCGACATGACTGGCTTAGACTGGAACACACCAAATACATATATGTTGTAGAGTCAATAACAACGAATAGTCAAAATACCATTATGTTATGTGAAAAGTCAATCCTTTACACTTTCCATTAAATCTATCAGCCGCCCACCTATCTTAGTGTCTCTATTAATAGCAAGATAATCCCAATATTATTTAGGGTAAATATAATGGTCTGATGGTGTCACTGCTTCCCTTCGAGTCCTGGTGAATGTTGTTAAGTAATATATAAAGGGAAAACCTCGGATGATTTTGAAATATTCTTATGTTTAATACGAATCTTTTCTAAGATCTGAGATATAAATCTTCCGAATGTTCATACGTCTAATGCTTTAATACTAGATTAAATGTTGGTCTCTAAAGTAATAGTGAAGTAGTTAACTCTTTTAATCCTCTGGTTTTATACAGTGTTGTACAGCAGATCACGTTTGTCTCGCCTAAATGTACAGACGTTAAGCCGAATCGCAACACCATACATATTGTACTTTTCTTCCGGTAGTTGACACCCTGGCGTATGGCACCACAATCACTGTACCCTTCCTGAGAGCTGACACACTGTTCTTTGACGCCACACTCACTGTACTCTCTGGAGACTTAATATTTGGCACCATACCTATTGTTATCTCCCCCTATGAGACAATATAAACTAAGAGAGAGAGAGAGAGAGAGATGGATACACAGGGGCAGTGGTGTGGTCATGGAGGATCACGTGTAGTGTTGTGCTGAGGGGAATCAGAGGATACACAAAAGCGTTGCACAATATATTCCCGCCGCTGGACAATGGAGGGATTGCACTAAATTGGTGTGCATGTAATCCTCTTACTGGTCCAGGGAAGGCAGCCATAGTCCTCAGACTCACGACATGTACTCATATTCAACAGGGTCAATATTCACTTAAGATGTGAGCTATTACAATGTTCCCGTCACATGTACACTATATATGTTAATTATCTATTAATAAAATATCAAGAAATTGAAGACTTATCAAGTAACTCACTGGTTCGTTCACTCACTGGTTTGGTCACTCACTGGTTCGGTCACTCTCTTTGTATATGTATTTGTTCTCACTTTAACGTCCACAATTTAATTCGATCGTGACCTAAACTTTACAGCTTGACGGCCGCGGCACTGCACAATTTTAATTAATATCAGACAAAGGTCAAGGTCACAGGTCATCAGTGAGGTGTTAATACGAAACACTATGGAACTCTGGAATGAACATAATCAAAGGGAAAAGACACACCCCACCTCCTGTTACCGGAGAGAAAAGGCTATATCAGAGAGACGTAGCAGAATAGCATCTACGGAAAAGCCCGGACCCTGCTAGTATCTTCCTACCAGAGCATCTTTAGTAGGAGGTCATTAGGGTTTTCTTCCTCCTCGAGTTCTTGACTTTATAAACTACGCTCTGAAAATAATGATACGTAAGACACCATAAACGTTTTTACTTCATGTGGCTAAAAACCTTCACAAAATGTTTTAGGAGAACATTATCAACGTTCTTCGAATTTAGTTGAAAAATATTAAAATCATCTGTAGTGCATTCTCAGAACAGCATTAGTGGCTTAAGATATTTTAATAGCATTTATGAAACACAGAAAAAGGACACTCAGGATAATTAAAAGAAAATTAATATTGTATGAAGGAAAGGAGGAATGATTTACAAATTTCACAACACATCAAAATAGACAGTCCGCGGTAAGCTTGTTATAAGTACGGTAGTATTTTTGTGAACTGGTTACTGAAATTTCCTGAATTTTGACCAAGATTTTACCTCTTTAAGCTACAGAGGTCATGAAATTCACCAACCAAGGAATAACAACACATTCAACGCTTAAAAATGATGAAAAACATTCTACATATAAAACACACATGGTGAATGAAGACTCCTGATGGTTCGTCTCATCATTTTTTATCAATTTGATGTCAGTTGATGCCATCCACTAGGTAAGAATTAACCAGGAAGGCATAAATTCACCTATACTGTATATCGAAATTAATTAAGTTTGATTTGACGTACCTGCCACCGTAAAAAAAAATCCACTGAACTGAGGAAAGACCCGGAAAATGATGTGGAAAATGAGCTTGATTTTCTCCACTGTCGTTCATGGCAGAGATATTGGCTTCTGCAGCAATCCGCCGTCACTGATGTTTCAGGAATCACAAACATTGCTCCCTGTAATGGATTTTCTTTGTCGACGATAAAAAGTCCCTGTTCACGTCTGATGCAGCTATTTACTCAGGGAACATACACCTGGTTTGGAGGGAAATATTGAAGAGATGAGATTCTGAGTTACGAAGCGAAAGAGAGGGAGATGGAGAGGGCCCAGAGGGGGGACAGATAAACAAAGACAAAGTATAAATTGAGTAAGATACAGAGAAAAGCAAACAGACATAGATATAATAACGTAAAGGTAGCGAAAAACAAGTAAACATTAGGACTGTTAGTAAGAGGAGAAAATAAAGGAAAGACAGACTATATGGACCTGACCACCTCCACAGCAAAGTTAGTTACCTCGCTGTGTATAATGATTCACCTAATTAAAGTTCCAGTTTGAGAGACAGAGTAACAGTCAATGTCTAGATGTTCCGAGAAAATTGGAAATATGTTTTTCTCTGTAATTCATGTATTAAATTTTACACTTGAGGGAAATGTATCGTTGTTTCTGTAAATTGTCAGTTGGTGTTTAGTGCTGTGTGTGACTGGTCGTTTATTGCATCATTTTGTTATGGGCAGAGTTACAAACAACGGGAGAAAGGTGGTGTTGTCTAGGGGAGGGGGAGTTGAGGAATTGAGTGTGTGGGGAAACTTTAACATGGTATCCAATTATCACTAACAGTGTTCTGTATGATGAGGTTTAATGAGT